AAAGTAAAACTTTACAATTTTAAAGAACCGGGGAGGTGAAAGTGACCTGAAAAAGAGTAGGTACATTATAGCATTATGAATATAGATTTGTATTCCTAATTCTAAAGTGTTATTTTAAGTGGACTGGTTCTAGCAGAGCTGCAGGAACTATTATACAGAGGGTTAGATTTAGTGCTGTCCCAGATCCTTCATTGTCTTTTTTGCGCACTAAAAGCTTCTCACAGTAAGTACCTTTCAGGAGATGCAGCGACTGAGTGATGCACACTGCAGATCAGCTACTACACAGACTTCACATGCCCTAAATACCTTTTTTATTAACCATACATTTAAACCTTACCTAGACAAAAAAAAATTATTACAAAATGTAAATAATCAATGCTTAAACCTGAAACAACCTCTTTACCCTAATCCTACTTTTAACTTTCATTAAAAACACCCAATGTACTCCGATAGACAGGCCGGACTGGCCCACCGGGATACCAGGAAATTTCCCGGTGGTCAGAATACCTTTAGGGCCGGTGCACAACAATCTAGCACGTAACAGCCTAAAGGCACAATCAGCTGGTGACCGACAGTAAAGGAGCACATGTGAGACAAACGGAGGAGGTCTGGGGGGATGAGACACATGGAGGTGCTGTGAGGGTGAAATAAGATACATGGAGGGGATGGGAGAATGAGACACATGGGGCTGGGGGGTGGAAATAAGAAACATTGAAAGGCTTGGGGGAAAGAGATACATGTGGCTAGAGGGAATATGAAAAACATGGAGGGGCTGAGGGGGAAATGATACACATAGAAGGGCTGTGAGGGTGGAAGGAGGCACATGTGAGGAAGATAAAGACACTCAGAGGGGTTTTGAGAGAGAGAAAGACACTCAGAGGAGCTTGGGGGGAGAGCCACACAGAGACACACAGAGGGGCCTGGGGGAGAGAAAGACATACACAGGAGTTTTTGCAGGGAGTAAGAGACACACACAGAGGGGTTGAAGGGGGAAAGAAATATGCAAAGGGGCTGAGGAAAAAAGACACACAGAGGGAGTAGAAAAGAAATAGATAAACAGAGGGACTGAGAAAGGGTAACAATAGGGTTTGGAAAAGAGAAACAGAGAAGGGCTTGGGAAGGTGAACAAGTGACACACAAAGGGGCTGGGAAAGGGGAATAAGAATCACACAGTGGGGCTGTGGAAGGGGAATGAGAGACACACAGAGGGGGTTGGGGAAGAGAAAAAATAACACACATGGGGGGCTTATGAAGGGGAGAAAAAGACAAAAGTTTTGGGTTAGGACCCACACAAAAGGAGCTTGAGGGAAAGTGACATACAGAGGAGCTGGGAGGAGGTAAGAAATACACAAAGGTGGGTTGTAAGCAGTGGCGTACCTACCACGATTGCATGGGTCGCAGCTGCGACCTGACCCCTCACTGCAGGGGGCCCAGCCACAGCCATGTCCCATAGATGCCGCCCCCTCTGTGTTCCCCATAGGGGGGCCAAGAGGTGGCCTGCTGGCCACCTAGTGGACCCCCCATGCGGGTGGCAGAGTTCCTGTCAGACGCAGCGAGGGAGCTGTGTTCTCTCTGCTCTGCTCCCTTGCGTGCCGTTTATTGATGCCGGGAGCTGGAATATGACGTCAATCAGTAGACAACTGTTTAGCTTTGTTTTGATGTGGAATAATTAAGCCTGTTATGTAATACTCAAACGCTTATTGCTTCAATCGTTACTCTTTTCTTTTTTTTAAAATATGCAAATTCAACATGCCATACCACTGTTTACTCGAACCTGATAATGCTGTTGTGGCGATACAGGCACTGCTGTACCTACCTGCATATCAAAAATAAACAATTAAAAAAAAAAAAAAACAGGAAGAGGTGCTGCCTTGACAGCAAGGGGTGGGGCAAATTTAGATTGGGGGGTGCCACAAGCATGGGGGCCCCCATAGGCTTGATTAACAGTAAATAATTCACAGTACTTATGTACTGGGCCATATCTGCCTGTATGCTTATCAAGTGAGTACAATTTTATGTTAAATTTCTTGTTTTTCATCTTCAAGTCTCATGTCAGTTGTGATAAATAAAGACCATACATTGTCTTAGTATACTTCCAAAAACGCATCTGTTTTTTGGGGTGTGTTTATTTTCTTAAAAGATCTTATCTGTTATAAATGAAAATGTCTGCAAACAAAATCTGTTAAAAGAGGAAGAAGCTAACTAAATCACCAGATATGCTTTAAATGAGGACAGCATTTATGTATTTTCTAATTATTACCAATTTTGTGCTTGTATTTGGTGCATAGAATTGCATATTCTTTTAACTTGGAGTTATAAGTTACATGTGAATTGTATAGTATTATGGATACTAACTTTCCTGCTGAATCTGAAGAGTACTACATTAACTCCTAGGCGAAAAGCAAATTTAAGAACTCAAACCATGAACCAGACTTGAAGATTTATTTCGATCCGTAATTCAATTCATACCTATTTGGTCCAATCGAGTGATCAGGCAAATTCCTGAGCTACAATCCGGAATGTATCCAAATCACAAACCAGCCAAAACACCCAATAACCCAGCATATTTGTTTTGGATTGTGATTCTGCCTCTGGTGCCAAAAAGAGATTGATGGGAAAAAAGATGACTGATGGCCACAGGACAGTAATGTTGATTTTATTCATATATCAAGTGAGAAGAAAAAAAGGAGTATAAAAAATCTATATATATATATAATGATATGTGATATATTTAATAAATATAAATATATAAGTATAGTTTTTACTGCTCCTCCTGTTCTTCACTCTATTGGTAACTTTTTTACTTGATCTCCGAATCAAATAGAGCCCAATTTTCTCCACTGGAAAAGTTTATAATCAACTTTTTGGTTTGATGGCCTAAGCCTCACTAATGAGGCCCGAAGAAGGCCGCAACGGGGTTGTTGTATCTTTCGAGCCAAGAGAGAACTTGCCGGCATTTCAGTTCTGGAATGCCCTTACGGTGAGATCAGTCTGATATGGTTCGGAATATGTTCTCTCCTTAACGGCACGCGTGAGCAAAACTATTTTAAGACTTAAGCGGGTATTTCAATAATGTACAAAAATATACCAGTCTATATACTAAATCCAGTGTGAATAACAAAAAATGAAATAATACCACCACATGTTGAGATATAAAATGTAAGCTCGTTTGAGCAGGGTTCTCTCCAACCTATCGTTCCTGTAAGTTTTTTGTAATTGTCCTATTTATAGTTAGTTCCCCCCTCTCATAATATTGTAAAGCGCTACGGAATCTGTTGGCGCTATATAAATGGCAATAATAATAATATAGTAGGATAATACCTAAAAAATAAAACACAACATAGTGTGAACTGCTTAAAGATAAAAATAATGGTTTAGCTTAGGACTACCAATCACTTTTCCCAGAGCTGTACCAGGCTCTGTATAGCAGGCTCAGGGGTGCCAATAAAGGCTAGCGGTTCCAGTTCAAGCAATATACGATGATGAAAGGACTTAGAATAGGTATAAAAACAAATTGTTGGATATATAATATAAAATAACTCAAAAAGTGCTATGGGGGTGGAACCCAGCATCAAAAGTACAAATAGGTTAAAAAAAAAAACTATAGAAAGTCACCCCTATAGAAAGTCACCAAGAGTTCAATGTAAACACAATATGTCAAACCTATAGTCTGCTACAGATGCTAGAGATGGATGTGGTCATCATTACTATCTCCTCCCCTTTACAAATATCCATTACAGAAATGCATTTCTATGGCAACGACATCATCTCTTTATTAGGTGCTGTAGTGGGAGGTTAAGTGTTCTAGTTGGGTATTGGGACAGTAGTGGGGCATTGGGGCAGTAGTGGGGTTTGGGTGCTATAGCAGAGTCAAGTGAGCCATACCATTGATATTCCCTATTACCCCACGCACAACAAATGGTGCCCAATAAATGTGTTAGACACATATATACTCCCCAATCGCGATCAATCAACACAAGCGTTACAATTACTTCACGGAACAATATTCACCACAAAAAAGTTCATGCTATATTTACGAATTTTGTTCATGAGACTTGGTCTTAACCCCTCCAACTATACCGGTCACTACTTCAGCATAGGGGCAGCATCCACTGTCTCCAGTACAAATATTCCTTTACACGTTATTAATAACTGGGATGCTGGAAGTCCTCTGCTTATTCATGCTATATCCCTCAAACTGTACAAGAAATACGTCAAGCCTTTCTCGATATGACAATGGAATAATAATTGTAGATTGAATAAATAATATGCATGGTATCTTTCCTTTTTGTTCTCTTTTATTACAGGCCTTCTGCATCGTCAGTTCCGGCAGACCACAACCGACTTTTCATATGTGATGTGTTAGGTATATACTACTTCATGCTATGTAACACGTTACGGAATTATGCCCCAAACCCTTTGTGTTTCTCTTTCTCCCACCCACCCTTTGTGTGTCTCTATCTCCTCTCCAGCTCCTTTGTGTGTCTCTTTTTACCTTTTCCAAGCACCATTGTGTGTCTCTTTCTCTCCTCATCCTCTTTTGTGGTCCCTTCCCCCTCTCATCTCCTTGTAGCATGACTGAGAGAACGGCAGTAAAGGTAGAGATTTCCTGTATTCCTGTCCTACAGTAAACTGTTCTTTGCCCTCAGTCAGCAGCTTCCTATTAGAACATCATCTCCTGCGGTCAGCTCAGCCACGCTACATGAAGTGACTAGCAGGAGGGGGAGAGCTGTGCTTTCCCTTCTGCAGTTAACCCAAATACTGCTCCCCTCGGGCTGGTGGGCCTTAAGGCACCCACATGTGACGCCTTATGGTTGTGGTGTTAGTAGAAATGTAAACACTGTCTTTTCTCAGAAAAAGCATTCTTTACACTGCTGAACCTGCAGGGACAGTCTCTTTTCCCTAGAACCACTACAGTAGGCTGTAGTGGTTCTGGTGCTTAACGTATCACTTTAAGTGCAAATTAATTACACCAGTGTTCATTGTAAGTATACTTTTAGTGAGAATTTTTTTTATTGATAAATGAAAAGTAACAAAATGTTCAGGCAGGAAAATGTTCATAAAAGTCTGAAAGGCACAGTTTTGTATCACTTGTAGTACAGCAAGAGACAATAGATTTGTTCAGTTTAGTAGCAAAGGTAAAGATAGACTTTATAGTATCACGCGGGTTTCTCCTTGAGTATTCATATGCAATCCTGTAAAGAAAAGAAAAATATACTTTATTTTTTTTAATATTAGTCTTCTATTACAATAGTTCTTATATATTTTTACAATTGCATATTATTCATGCATAGTGATGTCCCAAACGGTTCGCCGAACGGTTCGCCACGGATGGCGAACATATGCGCTGTTCGGTCCGCCCCCTATTTGTCATCATTGAGTAAACTTTGACCCTGTACCTCACAGTCAGAAGACACATTCCAGCTAATCAGCATCAGACCCTCCCTCCCAGACCCTCCCACCTCCTGGACAGCTCACTAAGAATCCAGCTTCACAATGAATGTAAAATGGATGCTGTCCAGGAGGTGGGAGGGTGTGGGAGGGAGGGTCTGCTGCTGATTGGCTAGAATGTGTCTGTTGACTGTGAGGTACAGGGTCAAAGTTTACTCAATGATGACATAGGGGGCGGACCGAACAGCGCATATGTTCGCCGTCCGTGGCGAACCATTCGGCGAACCGTTCGGGACATCACTATTCATGCATGATGCTATTTTGATAATATAAAAATACAAAATTCATTATTTGTCACAATTTCTTTTTAATATGTATTTTTCATTGTAGTATCATGGCATTACAAAATATGCTGTGAGAGACACATGTAAAACATACTACATTTTAAACACACTGGCTCTTTAACATAAATGCTAGTAAAAACAAGCTAGCAGCAACACTTTATTTAGAAAACAAGTAGCTTACTGTGTATAGCAGTAAATCACACTTAAAGACCTAGGTACATGCTGCGTAGTGTAATCTGGTTACTTGGAAAGGAGAAGCAATATGGGAAGGATGACACATATCCTACAGTTATAATGCTTGTCCGTATAGACATAAACAATAATATGAAATAAAAGAAAAATCATTTTAACCAACTAGTAAAAACCAACTGTTAGTAAGACAAGTGGCTTTAAATAAACTATTAAGTCCGTCCAACTCAGGTAATTGGCATAGCTGGTTAATGTTCAGAAATTTTCATGCAGGGTAGAACTGCAGGATAATATCCGCATTCCAGCATGACTTGCTGAGACTTTGGTCACTCAGTGAAGAGGCTACAGTGGGCCACGAAAGTCCCAAAGCTGCAAGAAAGGTATTTGCCACAAAATATGCGAGACCAGGAGTTGTTTGTCGCCTTGGTGGGCATTCAGTATGCGTGCCGGTCCCCAACTGTAGACAATGATGTTAACTCTCAAGAGCTTGGTAATGAGTCTAAGCGTTTGCCACCAGGCAATAGTAGATTGGGAGAAGTCTCCATTAAAGGGAAAGGACATAGTGTAAGGAGTTTTACAAATATCTTATTGGTTGCAAGGAGTGCAACCAATAGGTCCAGCACCTGAAGTCTCGTGCAGGATCAATTACGCTGGCTGCTGCGCACACTCGCATTTTTATGGAACACTCTTGGCAGCAGGTGGTCCAAGGTGCTTTCTTACTTGAAGAGGTTAAACCATTCTGAAGCAGTTTAACCTCAAAGGTTGTCTTCCACAACATACCTTTTTTATTAATCGGGAGCAACGGATTGGTTTGGAACGTCAGCTGACTGCTCTAGCCAATCAGCAGCACCCCTGCCAGGCGGCACTCCATGCTTCCTGAAAGTCAATTGCAAAGCCAGATGTCACTAGAGGAATTGGAGATAGATTAAGCACTGGAGGAATCCTTTTGAGAACAGACAAACACCTTCATGGAAGAGAGTGCCCGGGGACCTCCTGGTACCATAACAACTTAATTTTGCTATGGTGCCGAGAGTGTCTCTTTAAAAGCACTTTGATTTACACTTGGACAGCGTAAGTGTATACCATAATATTTCTAATATAGCACACTGTATTTCTGTAACTAAACTAACTAAAAGTTATATGTCTTCAAAGGGAAATATAGAAGTATTATAATTTTGGAACTAATATATTGTAAAATGCATTATTAGTTCATCCTACCATCATAAAATGTTTTTAATAAACTAAAAATGTTCTAATTAAAATAAACAAAAAAGAAATCAAGCACTTGTCATCTTCTAACATCAACAACAGCTACTATACCCTCCTGGGTACCGAGGAAAAATTGTCTTCCAATATGCCATCCATTTTATATGAAAAGGAAGAGGAAGTTCCCAGCATCCCTGCCTATCACATGACATATAACCGGAAAGCCCAGGATGTCCTCTTTACAATACAGTAGGGATTGACAGAGTAGCTCAAATGAATAAAAGGAGATGCATGTGAACAAAATGTCATACAGAGGACATAAGTTAATGGGCTGGGTCTCAGGAGGATACAATAGGGATCCCTCTCAATCCAAACAATAGAACCCCAACTACAAAGGATAGTAGCTCAACATATATCTTGTGGACATATTTATTATTATTTATTTTATTTATAAAATATTTTACCAGGAAGGATACATTGAGATTTTTTTCATTTTCAACTATGTCCCGGGTTCACAAAATATTAATACAATAGGGTTAGTGATGTCCCGAACGGTTCGCCGAACGATTCGCCACGAACGGTTCGCCACGGACTTATCATTGAGTAAACTTTGACCCTGTACCTCACAGTCAGCAGACACATTCCAGCCAATCAGCCGCAGACCCTCCCTCCCAGACCCTCCCACCTCCTGGACAGCTCACTAAGAATGCAGCTTCACAATGAATGTAAAATGGATGCTGTCCAGGAGGTGGGAGGGTCTGGGAGGGAGGGTCTGCCGCTGATTGGCTGGAATGTGTCTGCTGACTGTGAGGTACAGGGTCAAAGTTTACTCAATGATGAGTCCGTGGCGAACCGTTCGTGGCGAACCGTTCGTGGCATCACTAAATAGGGTTCAATAAAATACAAACACAATATTAATACACAATATATACAAAATTTAACATAGAACAGGTAAGAAACATATAATCAACCATGACAGGTGCATTCTGTTTTGAGATATGTAGAGATGGATCTCTTAAAGGATTTTAGGCTTGGGGAAGATTTGAAAGTGTGAAGGAAGTCGCTCCATAAATGCGGTGCTCTGTAGGAAAAGGAGGATCGAGCCGCTTTCTTTTTGTATTGAGGTAGACTAAATAAAGTGCTGGTACTGGATCGTAGGTTGTAAGAGGTGGGAATAGCCGGGGAGAGCATTCTGCTCAGGTTGGGTGGGCGCTTCCCAGAAAAGCTCTTAAACACAAGGCTGAAAAGATGAAGGGTGCTTCTGAATTTCAAGTGACAGCCAGTTTAGTTCTTTTAACATGTCACGATGGTGGGTCATGTAATTGTAGCACAAAACAGCAGAACGAGTTATACAATGTATTAAGCTTATTTAGGCGAGTTTGTGGTGTAGGTGCATATACAACATCCCCATAATCAATGATTGGAATCAGCATTTGCTGTACAATCTTTTCCTTTACTGTAGGGCTTAGGCAGGATTTGTTTCTCTACAGGGCACCTAGTAGAGGTAAAGTTTTGATGCAAGTTTTTCGATGTGGAGGCCAAATGATAGATTGGGGTCTAACAACATACCCAAGTATTTGAAAAAGTGGAATGCGGTCAGTGTACTATTTGATTTTGCTTTGATGCACAGATGGGAATTTTGTAATTTGCGTAATTTAGGTACTGTTCCAAAGATCATTGTGACAGTTTTGTCAGTGTTTAGGAAGAGTTTATATTTTGTGATCCGCTTTTCTACCTCTGTCTTGGTCTTGGAGCACAGCCTCAAACTGCGGTAGATTGCTTAGATTACTGTGTCATCTCCGTACATGTGTACATTTGAGGATTTGCAGATATTAGGCAGATCATTTATAAATAATGTGAATAGTAGGGGGTTGAGAATGGAACCTTGGGGAACACCACACATGACTGGGAGACGAAGGGAGTCACTGCCAGAAATGGCCACATATTGCGATCGATCCGATACATATGATCAAAACCAGGTTAGTGGACGATCACCAATACCTGAATTTTTTTTAGTTTGTGCAGTAGAATGTCATGGTCTACTGTGTCAAAGGCCTTTGCGAAATCAAGGAAATTAGCTCCAGTTAGGTCTCTTTGTTCCATGCCAGTTTGGATGTCATTGCAAACTTTTAAGAAGGCAGTTCTAGTTGACTGATTCGGGCGAAAGCCTGATTGATCAGGGGTCAGATAGTTTGATTGTTTGTAATACTCACATAGTTGCGTATGGACACATTTGTCTCTAGATTTTTGACAATACTGGGAGCAATGATATTGGGCAATAGTTAGAAACCAAAGTAGTGTCACCACTTTTATGGATAGGCACTACTCTTGCAGTCTTCCAAAGTTTGGGTATGTACCCAGAGACCAAGGATTAATTAGGGTTGTGACAGGTTTAGAAATTGCCAGCGCACTGAGCTATGGAATCATCAAAGATTTGGATATTTTTTTATAACCTAACCCTGACTCGTAACATTGTACCTTACTTGTTTGGAGAGTTCCTTGGTCTTCATGGCAGTGTTTGGTTAGTGGTGCCTCTTGCTTAGGTGTTGCAGCCTCTGGAACCTTTCAAAAAAGGTGTGTATATGTAATGACAGATCATGTGACACTTAGATTGCACACAGGTGGACATCATTTCACCAATTATGTGACTTCTGAAGGTAATTGGTTGCACCAGAACTTTTTATGGGCTTTGTAACGGAACTGCTGGCACCCCGACCGGGTACCTTCCGCCGACGGATGCTCCTAGTGCTTTCTGAGGACTCCAAGCACTCTGCCTGACACCATAACCACTGCAGACCCCACGAACCGCCGCAGCTTGGTTGGGGTCTCGCCGTCTCCACCCACTCTGGACCCAGGACCAGGGTCCAGCTTCCAACAGGTCGACCTCTCTCCCAATTCCAGAGAGCAGGAACAGGAACAAGCTCTTAGCAGAGCTTAGTGTTTATACCCTGGGGAGTATAGTGATTATAGCAATCCCCAGAGTGTAGTTTCTCCAATCCCCCAAACATGAGCCGAAACTTCATGAAGGTACAAGATGATCTGTTTATTGGCACACAAAGAACCTTCTTTTATGCAGGTCCCCATGCAAGGGGAAATCCCACTGGGTGGGACACAGTACAACCAATCACACAATGGTTACATCCCACACATCTCCTTCCCTTAGCCTGAGAGGTAACCCAATTATCCATACATTTTAAAACACACTTTTTACCCAACATTCATAACTCTAAAACTATACATCACATTCACATAAAACTACATATTCACAATCAATCCATTCAGGGGAACAACATATTAAAAAATGGCCTCAATCAGACCAGGGGTTCAGAAGTTAGCACAAGTATCTTTTGGGGCCTGGCTGGCAGCATGGATATCTGGCCCAAACTGGTTTCAGAGTCTTCTATTCTGGAGATAATTGAGAAGTAATGCAATTATCTCCCAAGGACAGAGGCAAAACTCCATTAGCCACATGGCAGACAAAGGACAACAAAAGACATAAAAATACATACTGTTACATTTATCACATAGAACCTACACATTTCCAATTTACCGAACACATAATAGCATATATAATATTGCAGACCGCCTGAATGCAATCTGCTACACAGTCTTAAAGGGACATTGTTCCTAAAAGTCATAATATGTCCAGGGATGGTTTTTAAAGGGCCAGCAGCAGCACCATATAAATCCAATATGCCCAAATATTGTACTTGAAGGGCCAAATAACCCAGGGCCATAGTCATGAGGCAAGAGGCTGGCAATCAGGCTCCTCCAACAGCCAGGGGAAAATCCGGTGACAAAAGGCGTTTCGTCACACATCTCCCCTTTGGGGGGAGACTAACCAGGTACCTGACCTGTCGGTCAGTGCCTGAGTTAGTCGATAAACCCACCCACAGTGAACAAGTACATGAGTAGCCCACCCACAACACACATTTACTGCACCTGGGTATTCCTCTGAGGTCACTGGGTAACACGCTTTGGGTGCTTGGGGGGCAGAGGCCAACTGCGCTCTGCCCCGATGCCAGCGCTTCGGCTGGGGCAGCTGGCTTAGGCCTTGGCTGGGGAAGGGAAATAGTACTTACCCCCTCCTCCTGGTGTCCCTGCAAGGGTAGTTGGGGATCTGGACAGGCTGTCCAACATCCCTGTAAGTCGGGTGCAGAGACCACGGTCTCCTCTGCACCTTCTGGGAGACTAGTGTCTCCTCTTTGTGGGGTAAATTGCCACTGGGAAGGAAGGACAGCACCTTCAGCTCCCTGGGATACACACTGCTGCTGGGGAGGAAGGACGGCACCTTCTGCTCCCTGGGGTACACACTGCCGCTGGGGAGGAAGGACGGCACCTTCAGCTCCCTGGGATACACACTGCTGCTGGGGAGGAAGGATGGCACCTTCAGCTCCCTGGGATACATACTGCCGTTGGGGAGGAAGGACGGCACCTTCTGCTCCCTGGGGTACACACTGCCGCTGGGGAGGAAGGATGGCACCTTCTGCTCCCTGGGGTACACACTGCCGCTGGGGAGGAAGGATGGCACCTTCAGCTCCCTGGGATACATACTGCCGCTGGGGAGGAAGGACGGCACCTTCAGCTCCCTGGGATACATACTGCCGCTGGGGAGGAAGGACGACACCTTCTGCTCCCTGGGGTACACACTGCCGCTGGGGAGGAAGGACGGTACCTTCAGCTCCCTCGGATACATACTGCCGCTGGGGAGGAAGGACGACACCTTCAGCTCCCTGGGGTACACACTGCCGCTGGGGAGAGAGACCGGTTGTCTCTTCTCCCTTGTCAACACACTGCCGCTGGGGAGTCAGACCGACTGTGTTGACTCCCAGTGATGATGGTTGTTGCAGGGACAAGGGACCGACAATCTCCTCTCCCTGGGATGCGGTCTGCCGCTGGGGAGAAAGACCGGTTGTCTCTTCTCCCTTGACAACACACTGCCGCTGGGGAGTCAGACCGACTGTCTCGACTCCCAGTGATGATATTTGTTGCAGGGACAAGGGACCAACAATCTCCTCTCCCTGGGATGCTGTCTGCCACTGGGGAGAGAGACCAATTGGCCACAGCCCCAATCTCCGAAATCGGAGCTCAAATTCCCATGCCGCTCGATTCTCCTCATCCAACTTGCGCACGATTGCCAGAACTGCCTCTGTTGAAGGATTCGGGCCATATCTGGTTAACCGTCTCATGACCTCGTCCCGGTATGCGTCGCCCTCAAAGCGATAGGTCATGTTTGCTGTGACCAGGGGCGCTGTACGAATACTAGCGTTGCCCTCAAATTGTAACTCCAAACGAACTGTGTCTCTGAGCTGCTTTACCTCGCACTAGGACGCCATCCCACCGCTGCCACCAATGTAACGGAACCGCTGGCACCCCGACCGGGTACCTTCCGCCGACGGATGCTCCTAGTGCTTTCCGAGGACTCCAAGCACTCTGCCTGACACCATAACCACCGCAGACCCCACGAACCGCCGCAGCTTGGTTGGGGTCTCGCCGTCTCCACCCACTCTGGACCCAGGACCAGGGTCCAGCTTCCAGCAGGTCGACCTCTCTCCGAATTCCAGAGAGCAGGAACAGGAACAAGCTCTTAGCAGAGCTTAGTGATTATACCCTGGGGAGTATAGTGATTATAGCAATCCCCAGAGTGTGGTTTCTCCAATCCCCCAAACATGAGCCGAAACTTCATGAAGGTACAAGATGATCTGTTTATTGGCACACAAAGAACCTTCTTTTATGCAGGTCCCCATGCAAGGGGACATCCCACTGGGTGGGACACAGTACAACCAATCACACAATGGTTACATCCCACACATCTCCTCCCCTTAGCCTGAGAGGTAACCCAATTATCCATACATTTTAAAACACACTTTTTACCCAACTTTCATAACTCTAAAACTATACATCACATTCACATAAAACTACATATTCACAATCAATCCATTCAGGGGAACAACATATTAAAAAATGGCCTCAATCAGACCAGGGGTTCAGAAGTTAGCACAAGTATCTTTTGGGGCCTGGCTGGCAGCATGGATATCTGGCCCAAACTGGTTTCAGAGTCTTCTATTCTGGAGATAATTGAGAAGTAATGCAATTATCTCCAAGGACAGAGGCAAAACTCCATTAGCCACATGGCAGACAAAGGGCAACAAAAGACATAAAAATACATACTGTTACATTTATCACATAGAACCTACACATTTCCAATTTACCGAACACATAATAGCATATATAATATTGCAGACTGCCTGAATGCAATCTGCTACACAGTCTTAAAGGGACATTGTGTCTAAAAGTCATAATATGTCCAGGGATGGTTTTTAAAGGGCCAGCAGCTGCACCATACAAATCCAATAGGCCCAAATATTGTACTTGAAGGGCCAAATAACCCAGGGCCATAGTCATGAGGCAAGAGGCTGGCAATCAGGCTCCTCCAACAGCCAGGGGAAAATCTGGTGACAAAAGGCGTTTCGTCACAGGCTTTATAACAAAGGGGGTGAATACATACGCACATGCCAATTTTCTGTTTTCTATTTCTAAAAAATAGTTTTATGTATATATTTTTCTCATTTCACTTCACCAACTTAGACTATTGTGTTCTGATCCATCACATAAAATTCAGATTAATAAAACATTGAATTTAAGGCTGTAATGTAACAAAATAGGTAAAAAGTCAAGGGGAGGTGAATACTTTTGCAAGGCACTGTACCTCCTGGATTCTGTCAGGAGAAGTGGAGAGAATCCAATGAGCAGAGTATGGTTATGACTTTTAATGTTTATGTGAGTTGAAGTCATGTCAGTACTATGAATGATGTATCAATGTGTTCATTAAAAAAATGAAAAGTACAGTTTTTTGTGTGTTATTAGTTTAGTCAGACTGTGCTTGTCTATAATTATGACTTGGATAAAGATAAGACCATGTTTTATTTGCAATCAATTCAAAAATGCTGGTAAAGTATTCACAAGATTTGTTTTGTAACTGTATGGAGGTATTATAGCAGCAAGAGATATGAGTAGATGACTGATGCCTCTTTTTATGCTGCCAATATGCATAGAGAAAAATAATAAAACATCAGAGCTTAATACTATAGGGAGTATAAACAATTATATAAATAAAGGTCAATAAAAATCTTACCAAATCAATAATTTTGATTCTCTGCAAAGCCGACATATTACATTTGGTTCCAGAGACACAGCAGATAAAGACTTGGATTCCATGTATGCTAAATCATTGAGACAACTCTCTCTTTCTCCGTCAGATTTAAGACAGCAGGCCTTCTGCTCACCAGTGTCCATTAACACACAAATATGATTTAAAAGAACCCCAGACTGCAAAACGGTAACAAAGAAAGACAGACATTTAAGCAACTGTAAATGAGTAGTTAATGAGCACAACAGCAGAGTTCTGTGAAAGGTTGTCCTTGAGATTATTACAAAAGTCAGAGTTAAATATGTTTGTTGTGAAGTGCAAGCAAAAGTATTATGTGACTACATTTTGCAGATTCAATTCAATTTCTTGGAACTTATAAAAAAGCCTAGTCAAAGGATCACACCACTGTACGATTGCCTCGATTTAATTTGTTTGAATCAGCAATTATTCCAATGTGTTAGAAACAACTTTTTAAATGATTGATCTATAGGTGGTTACCATTAAAGTCTAATGGTAATTTTTTGTAGATTAATCATTTGAAAAGCTTTTTTTTCTATCAGATTGCAATAAATTTTGATTCTCTGCATGAAAGACAGCCAGTCCATGCTCCTGCATCAGTCCTACCTCACTTTCATCGTTTTGGATGCACCTCTGTTGCTTCCCGGCTTCACCTGCATCATACTGAAACATGTCAGTCCTAAAATGATGCAGGTTGCTACATTGGCTTTTTATCGTTTTTTACATCTTTGACGCAGTGTAAATTTTTGGCCCAAGTGTATATGCACAATTGACTCAGGATTAGGATGTCATTGTCTGATCCCATTACAGCTTGTTCCTCCTTGGGATCTGCACTTTTCGTGGTTCTAGGCCAAAAACAGCTATTTTTATGAGTTATATTGTTTTTTTCTGTTTTTATTTTTTTTTAATCCAGTCTTGTACCTGACAAAGGTTTCTGTCATTCTGGTATCCCAGACACAGCTATCCTTGACCCTGATTTTTGTTTTCTCTTTCCCGCTACGTTTTTGACTCCATCAGTACTGACATTAGTGTTAGTACAGTATTCTAGTTATGATATGTCCCTATTCTAAGTGTTAAGCCATGCCACTCCAAGGTCTGATCATTTCTATTGCTCCTACTGTGCCTTTTGACCGGTGTTGACTTATAGCTTGCCTAGGATGCTGTTCCAGACATATTCAGTTATATCTTCCCGAGGATACCTGTTCCAGACATATTCATCATAAATAGGCCCAATGTAATATGATGCTCTTCATAAATAGAGGTACATTTATTTTTAAATAACTCTTGTACGCTCTACATAATTTGAATGTTTTTCTATATAAACATCTACAAGGGAAAATTAATTCTGTAATGCATAAAATTATATAACTACTTCCTGCTTAGAATATGATGCTGCAAACTCTAGATGAATTGTTTGTTTTTATTTACCTTTTAATTACATTAAATACTTTATCATACTAAACTAAATAAATACTTTTTACAATTACCCATGTATCAAAACATTCTGAAGTCAGGGTTTCAGGATTGCAACACTTAAATGCATGAGCCATATACTCTCTGTCAAAATCCATGGCCTTTTCCATCAAGTCACCCGGTTTCATCTTGGCATAAAAGATTAAGGCTCTTGAAAAGTTGGGGGACAGAAAAAAAGAACACAGCATTAAAATTAAAGTCATCACAACAACAACGAATTTGTCTAAAATTACATGTGTTTTTTTTATATACAGGGAGTGCAGAATTATTAGGCAAGTTGTATTTTTGAGGATTAATTTTATTATTGAACAACAACCATGTTCTCAATGAACCCAAAAAACTCATTAATATCAAAGCTGAATATTTTTGGAAGTAGTTTTTAGTTTGTTTTTAGTTATAGCTATGTTAGGGGGATATCTGTGTGTGCAGGTGACTATTACTGTGCATAATTATTAGGCAACTTAACAAAAAACAAATATATACCCATTTCAATTATTTATTATTACCAGTGAAACCAATATAACATCTCAACATTCACAAATATACATTTCTGACATTCAAAAACAAAACAAAAACAAATCAGTGACCAATATAGCCACCTTTCTTTGCAAGGACACTCAAAAGCCTGCCATCCATGGATTCTGTCAGTGTTTTGATCTGTTCACCATCAACATTGCGTGCAGCAGCAACCACAGCCTCCCAGACACTGTTCAGAGAGGTGTACTGTTTTCCCTCCTTGTAAATCTCACATTTGATGATGGACCACAGGTTCTCAATGGGGTTCAGATCAGGTGAACAAGGAGGCCATGTCATTAGATTTTCTTCTTTTATACCCTTTCTTGCCAGCCACGCTGTGGAGTACTTGGACGCGTGTGATGGAGCATTGTCCTGCATGAAAATCATGTTTTTCTTTAAGGATGCAGACCTCTTCCTGTACCACTGCTTGAAGAAGGTGTCTTCCAGGAACTGGCAGTAGGACTGGGAGTTGAGCTTGACTCCATCCTCAACCCGAAAAGGCCCCACAAGCTCATCTTTGATGATACCAGCCCAAACCAGTACTCCACCTCCACCTTGCTGGCGTCTGAGTCGGACTGGAGCTCTCTGCCCTTTACCAATCCAGCCACGGGCCCATCCATCTGGCCCATCAAGACTCACTCTCATTTCATCAGTCCATAAAACCTTAGAAAAATCAGTCTTGAGATATTTCTTGGCCCAGTCTTGACGTTTCAGCTTGTGTGTCTTGTTCAGTGGTGGTCGTCTTTCAGCCTTTCTTACCTTGGCCATGTCTCTGAGTATTGCACACCTTGTGCTTTTGGGCACTCCAGTGATGTTGCAGCTCTGAAATATGGCCAAACTGGTGGCAAGTGGCATCGTGGCAGCTGCACGCTTGACTTTTCTCAGTTCATGGGCAGTTATTTTGCGCCTTGGTTTTTCCACACGCTTCTTGCGACCCTGTTGACTATTTTGAATGAAATGCTTGATTGTTCGATGATCACGCTTCAGAAGCTTTGCAATTTTAAGAGTGCTGCATCCCTCTGCAAGATATCTCACTATTTTTGACTTTTCTGAGCCTGTCAAGTCCTTCTTTTGACCCATTTTGCCAAAGGAAAGGAAGTTGCCTAATAATTATGCACACCTGATATAGGGTGTTGATGTCATTAGACCACACCCCTTCTCATTACAGAGATGCACATCACCTAATATGCTTAATTGGTAGTAGGCTTTCGAGCCTATACAGCTTGGAGTAAGACAACATGCATAAAGAGGATGATGTGGTCAAAATACTCATTTGCCTAATAATTCTGCACTCCCTGTATATCTATAGAAACATTTCTAAATAGAGTTAAAAAAAATATACAAAGGGGCAGAGTCAAGACCTTGAGCTGAGCTAGCACATACCACACAAGCTCCCACTTAATTTGGCAATTACCAGGGGATATTCCCACATTGAGCACTGATCCTGGGACCACTGCACCCTACATTTATTGTATATGCTGTACTGATTCCACACACCCCTCACTCAAACTCTCGGGTCACCGGGTGACCCTGGTGGTGGTTTGCAGCCTGCAGGCGACTGGGCTGGGGGAAGGCGGACGATTTCCCCGCTCTACTGTTGCTGTACAGATCAGCTTTACTTCTACCCTATACATTTGCCTTTGGTGGCATTTTCCAGGGGGCGGCAAAAAAAGCCACCTCCAAATGTCCAGTGCAAATGTCTTGTTAGCCTTGCGGCTAACTGACAGTCCAGGCAGGAAAACCCCTTCCCAGCATTCCCAAAGGTAAGGGTGCTGGTGGGATTGAATTTTTAAAAGAAAAAGTGAGTGTGTGTGTGTGTGTGTGTGTCTATTAGTGAGTGAGTGTGTGTGTCTGTTAGTGAGTGTGTGTGTGTGTGTGTGTGTGTGTGTCTGTTAGTGAGTGTGTCTGTTAGTGTGTGTCTGTTAGTGAGTGTGTGTGTCTGTTAGAGTGTATGTATGTCTGTTAGTGTATGTCAGGGAGTGTCTGTTAGGGAGTGTGTTACTATGTGTGTGTCTGTTAGTTTGTGTGTGTCTGTTAGTGAGAATGTATGCGTGTCTGTTAGCAGGGCCACCATCAGGGGGTGACAACCATGATGGTTGTCACGGGCCCAGCAGTCCTGGGGGGCCCGGACTGCTCTGGCAGTCCCGGGCCCCACTCTCCCTATCGCTATCTATGTGTGCAGCTGCGGGCCCCCGGCTCCCTGTTACTGCAGAGGGGGCCCAGCACACAGCTTCTTCACATGCAGTTCATTTATTCCAATAACTCTCGCGAGACCCGCGGCCTTCGGAGCATTGCCACGGGTTACCATCAGGTATCGCGAGGGTTATTGGAGGAAATTAACTGCGTGTGAAGAAGCTGTGTGCTGGGCCCCCTCTGCAGTAACAGGGAGCCGTGGGGACCCCACAATGCCACCAGACCACCAGGGATGGAATCTCCCCGCTCCCTGGACACAGGTAAGCAGGGAGGGAGGAATAACATTTAATTTAATTTAAAGTAAAATTAATTTGAAAATGCCCCTTACCCCACCCCTCCCCTTCCGCAGATTGCACATTTAAACACACACACTGCATACACTACACTGACACACACTCTGCATACACTACACTGACACACACTATGCATTCACTGCACTGACACACACTCTGCATCCACTGCACTAACACACACTCTGCATTCACTACACTAACACACACTCTGCAATCACTACACTGACACACACTCTGCAATCACTACACTGACACACACTCTGCAATCACTGCACTGACACACACTTTGCATCCACTACACTGACACACACACTGCATCCACTCCACTGTTACACGCTCTGCATCCATTCCACTGACACACACTCTGCATCCACTCCACTGACGCACACACTGCATACGCTACACTGACGCACACTCTGCATCCACTCCACTGACGCACACTCTGCATCCACTCCACTGACACACACACTGTATACACTCCACTGACACACACTCTGCATCCACTCCACTGACACACACTGCATACACTACACTGACACACACTCTGCATCCACTCCACTGACACACACACTGCATCCACTCCACTGACACACACTCTGCATCCACTCCACTGACACACACTCTGCATCCACTACACTGACACACACAATGCATACACTCCACTGACACACACTCTGCATCCACTCCACTGACACACCCTGCATAGACTACACTGACACACACACTGCATACACTACACTGACACACACACTGCATACACTACACTGACACACACTCTGCATCCACTCAACTGACACACACTCTGCATCCACTACACTGACACACTCTGTAATCAGAACAC